AAGGGAGAAACCCCATGATCAATAACCTTCGAAAACAAGTAAGAGAAATCAGTAAAATCTTTTCCATTGTTATTTTGTTTACATTTTTCATAAAATTTTTTTAATTTTTCATTTGTACATGAATTTTTTAAATTACACATATTTGGAGGAAATGGTAAAAAACATTCATATTCATTAGGAATATGCTTATAACATCTAGGAGATTTTAGCTTTTCTGGTAGTTCGAGATGTCCTCTGAAATGATTATTCCTTGCACACCATTTTTTTGGACTTCCATTATTTTCTTCTTGTGCTTTTTTTTCCAATTCTTCCCATATCGGTTCAATAGTTTTATTCCATAATTGAACATTTCCTTTACAAAGCCTTGCATGGGTGAAATAATTCTTTTTATAATCGAGCCATATGTTTAGCGAATCACATGCATCATTATTTTTCCATGTTCCATCTGTACTAAAATATTTTTTAGATGAACAATAATTCTCTACCAGATATAATGCAATATGTCTTAAAATAGGATCCTCAATATTATCAATTTTTGATTTGAATTCACCCTTATAATGGTAAAAATCAAAGCGAATATCATTAAAGATACTATTAAAATAGGAATAACATTTTCCTAACTATATATAAAAAAAAATAGTAAAGTATAATATATGAATTCATATATATAATAAAGTAATATTAAACACAATTAAAAAAACAATATATTATATTCTAATTATGTTGTGTATAATTTTGTAATATTATCAAATATAAATTACATCTTGGTAATCCTTGAAACACTTAGCTTCATGTGTCATTTTATAAATAATTAATTAATCTTTGATTAAAAATACCATGAAAAACAAATATCACGACTTAATGGAAAATATAATATGCGAAAAACTTATACATAATGTTTATATTATATAATAGAATATATATCAATTTCAGAGATTTATTATTTAAATATATAAATAAAAAAATCATTCCTACTTATAGTATAAACATAAAAAAATTATTTTTATATTTACTTCATTTAAATTTCGTAAATAAATTAAACCTCAATAATATTTTTTCTATTTATCCTCATATTCCTATATTTTGCATTACGTTTCCATGCATATTATTGCAATGAATAAGGTGTTAATAATAAAGGCAAATAAAAATATATATAACAAACATTTTGACATATATATTTAATTTAATATATCCTAAAATACATAATCCAAAATATGTCCAAGAAAATGTTATTTATTTTTTTTTATATTATGAATTCCACTGTATAATTTAATACATTGTCTCGATGATATGTATTAACTATTATAATATTGATATATATTAAATAATATTAAAAAGGAATTGAAAAAATAATTCGTCCATAATATAATATTCAGTATTCATATAAATGTTCATTGAAATTTTGTTTAAATAGATATAATTAAAATTATATTTATATATTATGGATAAAGATAACATTTATATATATAATAATATATTTATTACGAAATCATGTATATGAATTAATAATACTAATGATAAGAAAAATTTCAACAAAGTTACTATGTTTTTTAATATTTATCTATTTATTTGAGAATTCTTTTTTATATATATTAATTTTTATAGGTATGATATATTTATATAAATGAATATTCATATATAACCACGATTATAATTTTGCATTTATATTTTTTAAAAGGATCATACAAAATAATATATAAGCATTATATACTTCTTTCCTTGTATTCTGTTTATATATTATAAATATATTAATAATTTTATAGGCATTATGTATTTTATAATTTATACATTTATGCTCCTTATGATTTTTTTAAAATGGCAATGGATAGCATATCAAAGAAATTCAATTTAGGACAATGCCCAGAAGATTATCAGAAAGTAATTTCCTTTTCATTTTAAAATTAATTACATATCTACTTCAATTATATATGAATATAATATATAT